TGAAGTGGTTGGCCCATTGTTTCCTCTGTTTCTCTTCTTTCCTAATTAAATTTCCTTCTTCATATTTATTGGTTTCATCTGTGTTGATCTCTTCCCTGATAGCAACCTGGTTATTTGATACAATGTTGTCAGGTCTCTCCTACCTGCAGCCTGTTCTGCTTCACTTGTCAGTGTTTCGTAGAAGTGTCTTTTGTCTTTGCGTGCACTCTTCTTCACTTCTTTGTCCAGTGTTTTATACATTGTGCTCAGTTCCTCTTGTCGTTGAGCATCCTTGCACTGGTTTATCTTCTGCTTCACCATCCTCCTCTCCTCTATCAGCTTCCAGGTATCCGTCGGGATCCATTCCTTACTTGTCTTCTTTCTTCTTCCTTCCCAATACTGTTGTGCAGGTTTCTTTCCACATAGCTTTCAAAGACTTCCAGTGTTCTTCCACACAGGTCTCTTCAGGGATGTTCCTCGATATCTCCCATTTTGTCTTGATGGCTGCCTTGAAGATCTCCTTTGTAATTTCATCCTTCAGTTTCCGAGTGTTCTACTTGAATTGAGGTCTATCACCAGCTTCCTTGAAGGCTTTTAACTTGATTTGGAAGGCAGGTTCCTTGCACTAGACAGTGAGTGATGTGAACCTACATCTGCTCCTCTTCTTGACCTTGTGTTAAGTAGACTGCGTCTCCATTTTCTTGAGATTGAGATAAAGTCGATTTGATTTTTAGTGTGTCCATCTGGTGAAATCCATGTCGCTTTGTGGATATCTTTGTGCCTGAACACACTGCCTCCAATCACCAAATCGTTGAATGCGCAGAATTCTGCAAACAATTCTCCATTCTCATTCATTTCACCTAGCGCCTCTCGACCCATGGTTAGTTCTCTTCCTGTGTTGTCCCCTCCCAGTTTGGCATTCATGTCGCCCACCCATTAGAATTTTGATATCGCCAACTGACGTCTTGTCCAGTGTTGATTGAAGTTGTCTATAGAATTCCTCCTTTTTCTCTTGCTCTGCATTATTTGTAGGTAAAAAGCATAACATTGTATGATTGTGACCTTTCTTCCTTTTAAGTTGAATCTTGCTGTCATGATCCTGGAGGAGATTGGTTCCCACTGCTTGAAAGCCTTCGATGCTCTTGCGGACATCATGATAGCCACTCCCTCAGTGTGCTCGTGGTTGTCGTCTGGGTGACAATATCGGAGTAGATTATTGATTCTCCAGTTGACAGTTTGGAGAGTCCACTCTCATTCCATCTGCTTTCGCAAATCCCAAGCACTTCGATGTGATACCTTCTCATCTCCTTTGCAATCTGGGCTGCCTTACCGGGTTCAAACATCTAACGGACATTCCATGTCCCCACGTTTACTTTCGCTTTCATCGAGAGAAGACACATCGGCCAATTGGATTCCCGAAGGCTTTCACCAACTGGCGTCATTTCGCCTCTCCGATTCCAGTGGGGAATAAGTTTGTTTTCACTTTTTATATTTTGTTTGTGCTTTGAAGTTTCTTTAGCGGTTAGATTTGTTTTACGGGGTAGGGTTGCTAGCCCTATGCCCAACCTTCCCTCTTTACCCGGGCTTAGGACCGGCTAGTAACTAGTGAACTAGTTAACCAGGTGAGGTTCCTGGTGGCTATACTTCATTCAAATTCACAGACATAATCAATGTGATATGTTTATGTGCAGTATTTTATTCTCGAAACGTCATTAAGTAAATAATACCATATCACTGTGTGTTATAAATCAAATAAGCAAATCTAATATGAAGTTACAGAGATCTCGACAAGGTAAAAGTGGCTATCCTACCATACGACAAAAGTTCACAACTTCCGTCACTGAAAAGGTGATACTGTTGAAATCAAGCGCAAAGCTAATCTAAGCATAAGGCAGTGACTGGTAAATTGTAAAATATCTCAAAAAACTTCAGTTTATCACTATACTGATCTTGTACTTGGGCAGTATACGAATTCTAAATGTCCACTGAGGTTGGCGCATGCGCAAATTATGTAGCACAATCTACCCGACAGTCAGTCAATAACAACATGAGACCTGGCACTTCTGCATTGAAGTTAGGTGTAGAGTTTTGGTAGGGAGATGAAAGTCATTTGATATGGTTGTGAACCTCCATTAATTCAGATGACCAGGATGTGTGTTACGCATGCCTAGTCACCATCTGCCTCGTTGCACCATGTTGGGTGAATTAGATCTTGGCTACAAAACGGTTAGAGGTGACCAAAAATAAAACATGGCATCAGTGCTGGTTTCTTTCCATATCTGTTTCGAAGAATTCCAGTGTTCTTCTATGCATGTTTCTTCAGGAATGTTGCCCAATATCTCCCACTTTGTCTTGATGGCTGACGTGAAGATGTCCTTTGTAGTTTCTTTCTTCAGTTTCTGTTCTATGTAGGTGTTGAACTTGAACTGTGGTCGTCTATCACCAGCTTCTTTGAAGGCTTTCAACTTGTTTTTGAAGGTAATGAGTGGTCTGGACCTATATCTGCTCCTTTTCTTCATCTTGTATCCAGTCCAGAAGGCTACGTCTCCACTCTCCTCAGATTGAGATGAAGTCCATCTGGTTTCAGTGTAGTGTGTCCTGGTGTCTGGTGAAATCCAAGTCGCTGCCTTGTGAATATCCCTGTGTTTGTACACACTGCCTAAAGTCACCAAATCATCAAATGCACAGAAGTCTGCAAACAGTTCTCCATTCTCATTCTTCATTTACCTAGCACTTCTCGATCAATGGTTAGTTCTCTTTCTGTGTTGTCCCCTCCCAGTTTGGCATTCATGTCGCCACACCCATTAGAATTTTGATATCACCAACTGGGATGGGATCTTGTCCATTACTGATTGCAGTTGTCTGTAGAATTCCTCATTCTTCTCTTTCACCTGCATTATTTGTGGGTGCGTAGCGTAGCATTGTATGATTGTGACCTTCCTTCCTTTTAAGTTGAATCTTGCCGTCATGATCGTTGAGGAGATTGGTTCCTACTGCATGAGAGAGAGCTTTCGATGCTGATGGGGACATCATGATAGCCACTCGAAAACTCAGTGTGCTCGTGGTAGTCGTCTTGGTGTGAATATCAGTCAATCAATGAATATCAACATAGGAGCAGGGATTACTGCATAGCGGTCTGAGTTGCCACACCTCATACCAGTACATCAACGGAAATGTAGTGAGGTGAAGGATGAAGATAAGATAATGCAGTGCAAAGAAATATAAAGTACGAAAAAGGAGAAACGAAGAATGAGAAAGTGATGAGACTCGGTTTCGCGTCGTTAAGCTGAGGATAATATGTGTATAGGTCTGCGCCTCTGACATTGGTTCTCAGCCATATCACCTAGCAAGGAGAAGCGTGTTGTTTCACAATGCATTTCATACCAGATTCCTCTTCACTTATGAGAGACAGATTATGAACAGTCAGTCAATCTCAGAAAAAACGTGTAAATATTGAAATACAGGCAATCTGCTCAAACAAATTGATCATAAATAACGAAATGAATGGAGCGGACAAATAAAATTACATTGGAAACTCGCTCAGAAGTGCACTTACATCAAGTTGACACTGTACACAGCAGCCTGTTCCTTATTCTTAGTATTCTGGCCATCTGATCTCCATATTCAGTGTCGAGTGAGCGTAGACGGCGGATGTTGATGAATGTTTGTAGTTTGTTGGAAATGCTTTTCGTGGTGCGTCAAGTCTCTGAACCATATAGCAGCACTGACTTGACTGGCATTGGTGTTGAAAATCCGGATCTCATTCCGGCTTTCTGCTGAGTGGAGTGGAGTGCAGTGCAGTAGATCTGTACACTGATTTCAGATTGATGAAAGCCTGTCTTGCTGTCTTTCCAATCTTGGTTTCGACATCCTCGTCTGTGCCGACGCCACCTGTAGTTGAAACGATGCTGCCTAGGACGGTAGGTGAAAGAGACTACTCCCTTTAGGTTTCTCCCGTTGATGGTGATCGGTACCTCTTCTTGTTGATGATGTTGTTGGTTGGGCACCTTCATCACCTCTGTCTTCTCTACGTCCACCTGAAGGAAGTCCCGTCTTCGCTGACCCACCTCTCCTCTCAACTTGTTGCTTTTTGCCTGTAGATCTTCGAGTTTCTGCGACAAGACATTAGACATGAATCATCGTCGGCGGAATCCAAATCTCCTTCTGGAGTCTTTACATCAGTCCAGCCAGCGTATGTCCCTCTTCTCGCTCTTCACAGTTTGTTGCATCATCATGATCATGATGCAGTCGACCACAATCAGGAAGATGATCGGTGATAGTAGGCACCCCTGTCTTGTCTTACTCCCGTCTCCACTTCAGAAGCTTCTGATAATTACTCTGTCTTTTTCATCATATAAAGATTTTAGTTTTCTTCAGAAAGCAGTTTTAATTTTCCTGTGAGGGAAACGAGGTATTGAACCGCAATGGCAATGACCATAAATTTGAACCAATTAATTTTATCGCTGTTGACTGGCTTTCGTTTCAGACAGCTGATGATGTTTATACTTAAATTCCATTTATATTGATTCGACTTTTCTTCTTACACTGGAAACTCAATTTAAAACCGAGAGATAGTGTTTCAGTCTGAATCATGTTCAACTGGATATTAGATAGATCGCGTACAAAACGTTGGGGGCTATTGGGATAGTCTTTATTCAGCCAACCTTTCACTCAGGAATTCCAGAAAGTGTCTTCAGTTATTGATGAGGTTTTGGATTGAGGTTCTTTGACTAAGTTATTGAACTTTATTCTACACATAATACTGAAGCTGTCGATCATACCATCGAGATCAGTCACTTCTTACTTTTGTGATGAAAATAAGTTATTTGTTGACCATGTGTATGACTTTGTTATTCATCGGAGATTCTTCCTAGGTGGTAAATTTTTAGACCCGTGTGCTCAACAGTAATTGTTCCAAAGTCAACACAAATGTAGAAGTGGCAACAACTCGGTTTCATCAGGCCTATCCTAAATGACAAGCACCAATAACACACACGACAGCAATAAGAATGCGAAAAGCACAATATTTGGAAAGTTGTAATTAATTCTGTTGGTCAATATCCAGTATGTATGAACCAAATCAACCTCAACGACAATCTTATCCTGAAAAATAGAACATTTTCCCAAACTTTTGAATGGTGTTACATGAAATGTACAATATGGTTCTCCCAGCAGAACGCTGAAATATGATGTAAGAAATTTAACTGTTCAAAAAGAAAAGTGATTACTAATGATGGAAATGACATTGAGTGATAGTTCAGTATAATACAAAAATGTGATAGTCATTGACTGCTGAACTATGAATGACAAAATTCGCATGGAATCTCGTACAAAGGTCCATCGGCTCAAGTTGCTATAATTCACAGTAGTACACTAAAACACGTGGTACAAAAAGAATGCAGACAAAGCTGTGTGAGAGAACAAACAGTCTGAAGATAAAGGTTAGTGCGAATATTCAAGCTTCAAAAGACGTCAAACAGTGAATACATCTGTGCCACTGCGACCGATTTCCAGTCATGCTACCAAGAGTCCTCAGTCGCTGATTTCTATCGTCTCGGGAACCTCAACCAGGTAGTCTATACGGCTGAGACCAACAGTCATCGACTGATGCCACATCTGGTCTCACCATCCTGAACCCTGTTCCAAACTAATCCAACTTCTCCTAACATGGCACGTCAAGGTAGGCGGTGGCTCCGCATGCACAGTACATGCCCAAGCGATCTCAGCCGATGAAGGTTGACAGCCTAATCAATTGACTCGCCTGTCTTGCGTAGTACTTTTCACCTGACCTGAACATTGTTCACACCGTGATTCCACCGAACGCGAGTAATGCTGCAGAAGCGCCGGAGACCGAAACCCTGTAACCGCTTCATGTCGTCTACTTTTGATGGCTTTGTCTCACTGTGGTATAGCAGGACAGAACGAACTGCAACGTAGTATACTCATCCTTTGATAGGTAGACGCATTTCTTGCCAGTCGGCGCAACAGATGACACAAGTTAGCTAATGCTAAACAGATCTACATCTGAGCTGAGGTTTTGTCATCAACTAGCCCGTTTGGGCTGATGTAACTTCCCAAGTAGATGAATTGGTCAACACATTCCATCACTTCGCTCCCTATCACTAAGCTGGGAGTGCTTGCATCAGACCAGTCCTGGAACATCATCTTACATTTGTCAGGTGTCAGCGAGACGCATGACAAACATACTCAGATTTCTGCTCAGCTCATTCAGAAGACTATCCATTGCGTCAGCATCTTCACCCAGTAGGAAAATATCGTCCGCACACTCCAAGTCAACCAGATGACCCTCAGGAAGCAGGTCAATCCCTGTGAAGTCAGACGTTCCTAAGGTTATGTTCATTATTACATCTGTGACAAAGTTAAATTGGAACAGTGATCGTGGGCATCTCTGGCGGACACCACTAGTTGTCGTCAATTCACATTACAACTCTGCATAAGCCCGTGAACGCTTGCGCGACTTTGATTGGCGCCATATACTTGCCCAGTAATCCTTTCACAGTCAGACAATGCAACAACACCACGTCGACTGTGTCAAATCCCGCCTTTAAGTCAACAAATATGGCAAGTGTCGGCCACTGGTATGTTTGTCCGTGTCCCATGACCTATCGAAGGGTGAAGCTATGATCGATGCACCCTCGTCCAAATCTGAAACCTGTCTGGTTTCCTCCAGGTTGCCGTTGTTGAGCTTCAGATTATTATTATTATTAGTCCCTTGGGTTCCTAGTGGAACATAGGGCTTCAGTAGCACGTCTCCAGTGACCTCTGTTCTCTGAGACCTTTTGAACCTGGTTCCACGACAGCCCAGAAGCTCTCATTTCCTCCTCGCACGACCTCCTCCATGTCACCCTCGGACGTCCAACTCGTCGCTTCCCATGGGGATTCTACTCGACTGCTTGGCCTGACGCGTGATGTCCCCAGTCGGCCTTCTCAGTGCATGCCCAATCCATCTCCACTTTCTTCTGCATATTTGTTGGGTGATAGGTTCTTGGTTGGTTCGTCATCAGCCAGAGTTCCTTGTTGCTTATTCTTTCTGGCCATCTGATCTTCAGTAGCGAGCGTAAGCAGTTGTTGGTGAATGTCTGTAGTTTATTGGAAATACCTTTCGAAACACGCCAAGTCTCTGGACCATACAGAAGCACTGACTTGACGTTGGTGTTGAAAATCCGTATCTTGTTCCGCATGCTGAGTGCAGAGATCTCCACACTGGTTTCAGGCTAATTAACGCCTGTCTTGCTTTTCCGATTCTGACTTTGCTGTCTTCGTCCGTCCCGCCTGTAGTTGAAACAGTGCTTCCTAGATAAGTGAAGGAGGCTACTTCCTTTAGGTTTCTCCGGTTCATGGTGACTGGAGTTTGTTGTTGTTGTTGATGGTGGTGGTGCGGTATCTTAATCACTTCTGTCTTCTCTATATTCACTTGAAGTCTCGTCTTCGCTGCCCCACCTCTTCTGCCAACTTGTTAGTTTTCGCCTGTACATCTTCAAGTTTATGTGACATCAGGCAAAAGTCATCGGCGAAATCCAAGTCTTCTAGGTTCTTTTCCGCAGTCCAGCGTATCCCCCTCTTCTCGCTCTCCACTGTTGTCTGCTGCATGATCCAGTCGACCACAATCAGGAATATCATGGGGGATAGTAGGCAACCTTGTTCACTCCTGTCTTCACTTCAAAATCATCACTGAGCTTCCCATTGTGAATTACTTGGCATGTGGCATCTTCATATAGTTGTTGAATGAGGCGGATAAAGGTTTGCGGTACTCCGTAGTATTGAAGCAGTTTCCAAATTACTTCTCGGTCGACGCTGTCAAAGGCCTTCTCAAAGTCGATGAAGTTGAGGTAGAGAGCTGATCACCATTCTATGCTCTGTTCTATGATGATGCGAAGCGTTGCAATAATCTTAAACTAGGTAACCACAATGATCTTGGTAGGAAAAAGCTTTTCAGAATGCTCAAAAATGAGCAAATAGATAATTACAGTCTTCAAAGAAAGCGCATCCAGCATTTCAAGGTGCAAGTCCCTACGTAACTACGAGAAGAGAGATTGAAAAAAAACCCGGAAAGATTAAAAACAAATATGTTAAAAATATGACACATAGGCAAACAAGTAAAGGTTAACGTAAACATACAGTTCAATGACAAAACTGGTCACGCATAACTCCATCCTCTAAATAAAAAAGCAAACAACACTTTACAATTCAACAGTATAACATAAGAATTGTTTAAATATCTTAAAAGTATTGTACAAAAATGGTAATTTTTGAATTACTCTTACTTTGCTTAGAAAGAATCTATTTACAGTTCACTTCATTATAGTCTTGGTCTAGGCGTAGTTATACGTTTTGGATCCCATGAATAACTAACCCATTCCTGCATGTAATATCAACTCCATTCTCACTATCACCCAATGAAGCTGCTTCGTCTAATAGCTTGAATACTGTGGAGAATGATCTTTGTCCAGTTATCGAAGAACTGTCAACATCATTACATCGATTACGTGTTCATTGTTCACATTGTTTTTAGCCTGATCATTTTTAATCACAGTATTACTATTATTTGTTAGATCCATATTCGTTGCATATTTATCAACTATTGAAACTGGGATAACATTCGTATCTTCATCTTTGAACAGTGTTATACGTTTATCATTGATCAAAGTACGTTTGTTCACCCGTTCATATTGTTGATAATTATTTGTATTTTGCACAGCTTGTCGTAACTTTGCCTGTAGTCGGTTGCTTAACTCAATTAACGCTTTTTTTTCTAATGCTAACTGATGAATTTGTTTCACTGCAGATAACAATTTACTGTGAACTTTTATTTCTTCCTGTTGATTACGTTTTTCATCAGTTGTTGTTGTTCTAGCTGTTATCATTTCAGGTGTCAGTTGAGCAACTTGTTTAACCTGTTCTGACATCATGTTTATTGTACATTTAAGACGTGAATTTTCATTTTCGAGTCTATCACAAGTATCTTGTAAATAATCAATTTGATTAATGATATCTTTATGGTTACATTGTACAATTTCTTGTACGTTCAATTCAGGCTTTATTAGAGCTTGTTTTAAATCATCAGTAAGACGAATAACTTCAGCTTGAGCTAGACGTGATTTACGCTCAGCATGTTGACACTTGGTTTTCACTTCTTTCCACATGTCAAGAGCTTTGTTTGTTTGCTGTCTTTCCTGATCAAGTGATTCCAGTAATCTTTGGTTTTCACATTTAAGTGAACTGATTGTTTCTTCATGTCTCGTACTGTTCACAGCTATTTCTTGTTCATAATGCTCTAATTTAGCCCTAAAGTACCAAAACAGAAAAATAACAACAAATAATAATAACAATAATGATAATAATTATTATTATTATCATGACCAATTAGATAACTTCAAACAATTTCAGTTGATAAACTTGTCATAGACAAGCAGAGATTATCCACAAAGAAATTGGTGCTATTTTGTAAGAATCCCGGTTGGTGCACGTCACTTTAAAACATCGAGGTAAGAAATAACAAAAGCGAGGGTAAAAACATTGAGGTAATGAGATCAGATGTTGCAGAAAACTATGGGACAAAAATGTAAATCAGTGAAGCAAACATAGAAATATGGTATCAGGATTTACTTAAAGATGAGGCATGAATGCATCAGTCAGCATATGCCAACAGAGGTGGATCAATCCACTGCAGCACGATATTCGTTGGGAAATTACAAGTATCAGTAAATAATAACTAATACTCGTTGCACATGGGGTGCCTATCGTGACTCAGTAACCTAGTGCCATTTGAAGAGATTGGTGCCGCGTTCAAGTTCCAGTGAGAATACTGTCACTCACTGAGATCTGCTGACGAGTCCTAAATAGGATGAAGTTCTCACCATGAATACCACTGCCAGACACCATCAACCAAATTACATCTAACCCCACATTTGTTAACTCTGTATCAAGGTAGGCGATGGGTTGAAATGTGCAACACATGTTCCAACCGTCTGAAAAGTTAAAAGCTTGCAACTTCGTCATCTGGCTTGCATGTTTCACCTAAAACTGCTCCTAACCTATATATATATATATATATATATATATATATATATATATACGGCATGAAGGCCGATGGTGAAAAATGCCAGATTTACAGCATGATGCAAAGTGACGACTTTTAGTCTTGCAAGAGTCAAAGTACATGTCGAAATGCAGGCAAATTAATTTCAAAGAGGTGAAAAATTGTATCGTTGTTTCCCAGTGACTTGCTTGTATCAGTCAAGTATAAATCTGTATTGAGTAAAATTATTTTAACTAAGAAACTGCACTTTGTAGCACTTTATGAATTACAATCTACCAAGGTATGAATGAGATGAAGACATCCCATTGCACCAGGAATATTCTGAAATAGTCAACGGGGCATATAATCTCTTCTGTTACTCTTACAATGGTAGTTATTATGTGTAGATGTTGGTTTAAAGAACAACAAAGGGTGAAACATAGGTGTTGGATAGATGTACTGCGACACAATTGTTAGACACGGACATTTACTAAAGGTAATGCCGAAGCTTGATTAAAAAGGAAACGGACAAATGAATTTTAGGATGATGAGAACATGACTGCAACTCGTGTGGTTACGCCCTCACCCGACTTTTAAGAAGAGGCTAGTGGATAACCTCTAAGGGTGATAAACTTTATGCTAGTCAAAATACAAATTGAAAGAAATTCACAACACCTCTCATTAAAGAGCAGGTACGTCCAATTGACGAGCCCTAAATAGGACAAGACGTGCGTCTTGCATTCCACTACTAGCTACCAAGTAGACTCAAAAATTCACGTAACATGTTGAATCATCCTGAAGCCACTTATACTACTCATGGTATCTAGAGAAGTTATTCTTTTTTTGTAGCATTTAAACGTGGACTATACCACCCTGTGGTCCTTGCTCTGCAATAGACACTGTAGCAGAGAGCCATTATTATTATTATTATTAGTCCCTTGGGTTCCTAGTGGAACATAGGGCTTCAGCAGCACGCCTCCATTCTACTCTGTTCTCTGAGATCGTTTGGACCTGGTCCCACGACAGCCCAGAAGCTCTCATTTCCTGCTCGCACGACCTCCTCCATGTCCCCCTCGGACGTCCAACTCGTCGCTTCCCATGGGGATTCCACTCGAGGGCCTGACGCGTGATGTCCTCCGTCGGCCTTCTCAGTGCATGGCCAATACATCTCCACTTCTTCCTGCATATTTGTTGCGTGATAGGTTCTTGGTTGGTTCGTTCCCAGAGTTCCTTGTTGCTTATTTTTTCTGGCCATCTGATCTTCAGCAGCGAGCGTAAGCAGTTGTTGATGAATGTCTGTAGTTTATTGGAAATACCTTTCGTGACGCGCCAAGTCTCTGAGCCATACAAGAGCACTGACTTTACGTTGGTGTTGAAAATCCGTATCTTGTTCCGCATGCTGAGTGCAGAAGATCTCCACACTGGTTTCAGGCTGATGAACGCCTGTCTTGCTTTTCCGATTCTGACTTTGACGTCCTCGTCCGTCCCGCCTGTAGTTGAAACAGTGCTTCCTAGATAAGTGAAGGAGGTTACTTCCTTTAAGTTTCTCCCGTTGACGGTGATTGGAGTTTGTTGTTGTTGTTGTTGATGGTGGTGGTGCGGTATCTTCATCACTTCTGTCTTCTCTATATTCACCTGAAGTCCCGTCTTCGCTGCCTCTTCTATCAACTTGTTAGTTTTTGCCTGCAGATCTTCAAGTTTATGTGACATTAGGCATAAGTCATCGGCGAAATCGAAGTCTTCTAGGTTCTTTTCCGTCGTCCAGTGTATCCCCCTCTTCTCGCTGCCTACTGTTTGCTGCATGATCCAGTCCACCACAATCAGGAATATCATGGGGGATAGTAGGCAACCTTGTTTCACTCCTGTCTTCATTTCAAAATCATCACTGAGCTTCCCATTGTGAATTACTTGGCATGTGGCATCTTCATATAGTTGTTGAATGAGGCGGATAAATGTTTGCGGTACTCCGTAGTATTGAAGCAGTTTCCAAATTACTTCTCGGTCGACGCTGTCAAAGGCCTTCTCAAAGTCGATGAAGTTGAGGTAGAGAGCTGATCACCATTCTATGTTCTGTTCTATGATGATGCGAAGCGTTGCAATTTGGTCTGCACATGATTTGTACTTCCCGAAGCCTGCCTGTTCCCGTCGCAGTTTTGAATCCAGTGCATCTTTAAGCCTCTCCAGGATGATGCGGCTTAATATTTTACTTGGGGTGGACAGGAGAGTGATTCCGCACCAGTTCTTGGAAGCACTGAGTTCTCCTTTCTTCGGCAGTTTGACAAGGTAACCCTTCTTCCAATCGCCAGGTACCTTCTCTTCCTTCCACACCTTCTGCAATAGTGGTGTGAGCATGTCCGCTGTTGTCTCTGCATCTGTTCTCAGTGCTTCTGGCGGTATTCCATCTGGTCCTTCTGCTTTCCCGCATTTCAGTAGCTTTATGGCGTTCAGGACTTCCATTTTCGTTGGGGGATTAATGTTCACTTGTAGTTCAGCGGCTGCAGGTGGTATTTCTGGACGAAGTGCAGGTGGTGGTCGATTCAAGAGCTTCTTGAAGTGGTTGGCCCATTGTTTCCTCTGTTTCTCTTCTTTCCTAATTAAATTTCCTTCTTCATCATTTATTGGTTTCATCTGTGTTGATCTCTTCCCTGATAGCAACCTGGTTATTTGATACAATGTTGTCAGGTCTCTCCTACCTGCAGCCTGTTCTGCTTCACTTGTCAGTGTTTCGTAGAAGTGTCTTTTGTCTTTGCGTGCACTCTTCTTCACTTCTTTGTCCAGTGTTTTATACATTGTGCTCAGTTCCTCTTGTCGTTGAGCATCCTTGCACTGGTTTATCTTCTGCTTCACCATCCTCCTCTCCTCTATCAGCTTCCAGGTATCCGTCGGGATCCATTCCTTGTCTTCTTTCTTCTTCCTTCCCAATACTGTTGTGCAGGTTTCTTTCCACATAGCTTTCAAAGACTTCCAGTGTTCTTCCACACAGGTTTCTTCAGGGATGTTCCTCGATATCTCCCATTTTGTCTTGATGGCTGCCATGAAGATCTCCTTTGTAATTTCATCCTTCAGTTTCCGAGTGTTCTACTTGAATTGAGGTCTATCACCAGCTTCCTTGAAGGCTTTTAACTTGATTTGGAAGGTTCCTTGCACTAGACAGTGAGTGATGTGAACCTACATCTGCTCCTCTTCTTGACCTTGTGTTAAGTAGACTGCGTCTCCATTTTCTTGAGATTGAGATAAAGTCGATTTGATTTTTAGTGTGTCCATCTGGTGAAATCCATGTCGCTTTGTGGATATCTTTGTGCCTGAACACACTGCCTCCAATCACCAAATCGTTGAATGCGCAGAATTCTGCAAACAATTCTCCATTCTCATTCATTTCACCTAGTGCCTCTCGACCCATGGTTAGTTCTCTTCCCGTGTTGTCCCCTCCCAGTTTGGCATTCATGTCGCCCATTAGAATTTTGATATCGCCAACTGACGTCTTGTCCAGTGTTGATTGAAGTTGTCTATAGAATTCCTCCTTTTTCTCTTGCTCTGCATTATTTGTAGGTGCATAACATTGTATGATTGTGACCTTTCTTCCTTTTAAGTTGAATCTTGCTGTCATGATCCTGGAGGAGATTGGTTCCCACTGCTTGAAAGCCTTCGATGCTCTTGCGGACATCATGATAGCCACTCCCTCAGTGTGCTCGTGGTTGTCGTCTGGGTGACAATATCGGAGTAGATTATTGATTCTCCAGTTGACAGTTTGGAGAGTCCACTCTCATTCCATCTGCTTTCGCAAATCCCAAGCACTTCGATGTGATACCTTCTCATCTCCTTTGCAATCTGGGCTGCCTTACCGGGTTCAAACATCTAACGGACATTCCATGTCCCCACGTTTACTTTCGCTTTCATCGAGAGAAGACACATCGGCCAATTGGATTCCCGAAGGCTTTCACCAACTGGCGTCATTTCGCCTCTCCGATTCCAGTGGGGAATAAGTTTGTTTTCACTTTTTATATTTTGTTTGTGCTTTGAAGTTTCTTTAGCGGTTAGATTTGTTTTACGGGGTAGGGTTGCTAGCCCTATGCCCAACCTTCCCTCTTTACCCGGGCTTAGGACCGGCTAGTAACTAGTAAACTAGTTAACCAGGCGAGGTTAGCAGAGAGCCATACATGGGATAAATTGTCAAAAGCCAATTGGTAGTTTTGTATCCGTTAATAGGCCTATCTTATAAAAATTCAACTAAGAAAAAATTTACAGTTTTTCCGATAAAGTGTAATTTCTAAAAGGATTTTAATCTAATTAGGAAGGTGAAAGAACACTGGGGAAGAGTGCTTCAGAAATTCCATGCATTGATAATACAAGTCGCTATCGTAATATGACAATATTATTAGTATTCGAAGATATCCTGGCAAAAAGTTAGACCATAAAACACTGTACACAGACTGACTCACTTAAGACTATCGATTTCTCCTAATAACTCGGTCTTCTGCAATTTGAAGACTCTTCATCTTGCATTCTAGCAGATTCTAGTAACACTGTTTTTGCTTAGACACCTTCAAGTGTGTTTGTAAATCTTGAATCTCCAACACTTTTGACTGGATTGTCTTGTTTGCCTCATTTAGTGACAGTTCAATCCCGTTAACAGTTCATTCTTACAAGACAATTCTTTCATATATTCACTCTTACTCTATTAGCTAGATCAGTTGCCTCTTCGGCAACGTGTAAGCGTAGTTCCAACTCAAATAACTTTTTCGAATTATCAGCTTCAAGTCTTTCTTTCTCTCTTTTTGCATTGTCAAGTGCATCTTGTAAATCAGCAGCAGAGCGAAGTTGTTCAGTTCTAGCTCTGACTGAAGACGATTAATAGTATTCTGCAATTTGATGCGTTCTTCAATTTCCGTTTTTCGTAACACATCTATGACGGTACCATGTTTTTCAAGTAGTTGCCTTTCTCGTTTCACAGTTTCACGCATACAATCTTCAATATCTTCTCTTAATTTAGCCTCAGATGACTTGGCTTCTGCAAGCTCACTCTGTGTACGATCTAAGCAAACTTTGATTTCGCTGATTAAAATATCCCTTGAATGAATATTCTGAAGGGGAAAACAATGTTTCAAAACATACAATGGAAAGTATACACACAACTTACTACAATGATACAACCTATGATATACTTTCTTAGAAAGATAACATCAACATAAGGCCCGGAATTATGACTTAACAGTCCAAATTGCCACATCTCATATCAGTCTAGCGAGTAAAAATGCACCAAGGTGAGACATAAAGAAATAGAGAAGAAACAATCAAAGGTGATAGCAAGTCATCAAAAGAGGGCAAGAAGAAATGAGGAAATACTGCATTCAGTGTGGTGATTGAGATCAAGATAATGTGTGGATAAATCTGCGCCATAGACAGATTATGAGCTGTGTCACTGAGAATCTGCAACCAATGCTTTCTGTTGTCACATGAGTCTTGGTCAGGAATTCTATATTTATCCACACGGCTCAGACCAGTATTTAAAGACTTCATGAACTGATATCATGTCTTGCTTAATCTGGCTGCCTCTAGCCTTGTTGTTCCAGCCTGAACCTACGTTAGTTAACATTATGAGGAAAGGTAGACTGTGACTAGACATGCGTAACACATGTCCCAGCCACCTAAGTGAATGAAGGTTCAAAACCCTATCAACTGACTTTCCTCTTCTCCATACGAATGTACACCTGACTTCTAGGTATGTTACTGACATGGTGACACCACGACACAAAGTCCATCCTACGAAGGCAACGGTGGTCTAACATCTGAAACACCCTTAGATCTTCTTGCTTTAGTGGACATGTTTGACAGCCATATTAGCAGAACACAGAGAACAGCAGCAGAGTACTTGCCTAGTAGTCATGTAAAGCATGCATAAAGCGAAAAATTCTTCTGTTAGAAGTCAGAAGTCGAACTCCACATACCTCTTCGAAGAAATCTGAGGAAATATTACAAGGGACGAAGAAAAAACAATAAGGTTGATCTTTGTTGCTTTTCTGTACAAGTTTTGCCTTAAATCTCTTGGTCAAAAGGCATTAGGTGAGTAAGTGATACTATTCGTAGACACCAAGTATTCTTTAACAATTTATTTCAGAACCTACTACACATCAGCATTGAAAGTTCGTAGATATGCGTATATGTTGTCGTTTAGTGACTACTTTTACCAACTTGAAAACAAAGCAGCAAATTTAACAGGATAAAGTTACACATGTTTGGTGTGCACTTTTGCATCTTGCTCAAGTTATTTTAGGTAGTTGACTTTCAATCAGTGGGTCACGGCTTCGAGCCCCACTGCGCTTACTGACATTGGGCAGCCAGTTAGTTTTACTACCCCCCACACAATACGTGTGGTTCACTGCCTACTTCAGGAACGTACACAAGGCTGCTAAGTTCATTTCGATTACATTCCCGTTTAGTCTTTATCAACCATTCTTTCCGAAATTGAACAATTGTTTTCTTAAGTATGTGATACGAATGATTTTTGAGGGTATTGGGTCGAATTATCGGTAGTTCAGCAACCCACTTTTCATAGATTGAAAATGAAGATAGTTTTTTTTAGAAGTTCTTCAACTCTAGTGATAGCACACATTATCCTTGAGGAATATATTTCTTTGCAGTTGGTTCAGATTATATTTAGCTGCTAATTTTCGAAGGGAAGAACACTTACAAGTGGAGAGCTTTTGGAAGACAAACTTACTCAGCACTCATTTCATTGAAACACTATGTTATAAGACATCCCTAACATCGGAGTTAATTTTCACTAGGAAATTTACGTTCTGTTCAGTATGAGAATATCGATCAGTATGATGCATTTTAGAATAAATCGAGGAATAAATTAATACGAAAAACCTTCATGTTCGCACCTCGTTCATAACTGGAAACTAATTTTCTTATATGAAATAAAATCTCTTCCAGTTATAAACCAGTCTGTTCTTTCATATTTCTATATCCGCACACACAAATTATATACTAAATTGATTATTTTATAAATTTTGACAGCTTATCTGCTACAATTTTTGAAAACACCGAGTTCAATTTATGTTTAGCATGCAGAACTAACACTCTAAAAACCAATAGACTAAACTAGCTGAAGTTATGAGATTTGAAGCTGAATCCACGTGTAGTGCTACACTGTATTTCAAGAGTATCAACCCTTTCTGAACAACCTTAATCAATATTCGCACAAATTTTCGCTACATTTTTATTTATCCAAGTCTGGTTATTCAGATCATGAAACAAATAGCGTAATCTGTTCCAGTTTAAGATGAAGAAAATTCATACTGCTCAGCGAAAAAGAGTCAGAAGACCGTAGTGGGCAAAATATTGATATAAATTATAGTCAAATGGATGCCTCAACACATGAGACACGAAAAAGAATTCTACATGTTTGTATGAAATATAAAACTTACAAATAACAATCTAGGGAGGACCCAGGCAAGAGGTAACTCAAACTAAGTCAACTGTATCAAAACCGACAGAGCAGTAAAAAATGAAATCACACGCAGAAATATCCATCGTGCAACTTTGTTTGTCATGGAGATCACCAGTTTACCACAATTACCTTCCACATAAATATGTCAGGTTGACAACGGTTGGAAGTAGCGGCCTCTGTAAAGCGAAGGTTTGATGTTTGTTGTTTTTTAGTCTGGCGGTGCTTGGGAGTTTTGGTTTCCATGGCTGCTATTTTCTACATTTCATAATAAACCTCGTTGAAGGAGGTTAATACTATGCCTCGTTTGTATTTGATGAAGCGAAAATTACGATAATTCAAATATTGTGACATTCTTCATTTTTTATAACGTTTCAGGTAAAATATTCGTCTTCAAATTCCACCGCAAATTCAGTATTTGAATGAATGCCATAGGGTTTTTGAAAAGGGTGAAGAAACGACTCAACACCAAAACTAACTGTGATCTAAATTCTAAGAGTGGTGACCTGTTGTCTCGACTTGTGATTTCAGTTGCTTCTCTTCAGGATAATAAGCGAATATGTTGGCGACAGAAATAAAAAAAGGCACTTATTATGATTACAAGTAGGATTGCCAAAGTGGAGCGGAAAAATTCATATTCCATCAACCTTCTAAAATACTTTACTCGGTTAAAAATAACTGCAAACAACTTTTTCCGATAGATAGCTACTATATTGTGATGCTCAGGCTAGTATATCACAATGACCCAACGAGCTCTACTGGTGAAACGATTGTTTCTTCGAGGTTTTACCATACCAGAAAGGTCTGTTGGTCAGTGGTTAAGCAAAATCCAGCTACCGCTACAGTGTTAACGGCAACACTGTGATGGGTATCCGAGGGTGAAGTCGTGCCGCTTGCTGGCTGAGTGTATAACAGCAGTAAGGTGTTTCCCCTGGATGACCAGAAGTGACACGTTGATACTGTCTTCCTTACAGGAAGTGAAAAGAGGGATTTTGAAAAGGTAGATTCTATAAGTACCACATTCCGCTTTACCCCGCGGCATACCGAAACCGGCAATATGAGTTCACAGAAGTACTTACATAAACAAAGTGAATCATTAAAGTTATAAGATGTCCCATGAACCCTTTATCTCTTTCGCGTACAGCTTTTCGAGACAGCCTTCCACGGTATGGGCAGTCTGGAAGTGTCAACCACCCGCATGCATCCAGTAGAATACAAAAATCAATAAAATATAACTAACCCTTCTTATTTTTGTCTCATTCTTTGCTTTCACTTCGCTATACCAACAGAAAACTCATATTCCTCAACCTCTCACTCCGCGTCCGATGCCAACGACCCCAGCCATTGAAACACCATTTCTAGTCCCCTAAGATGTCGTTGTCAGACTCACATTGACTGCACTGACATCTGAACCCTAGGCGGAATCGGGCAAAAGGTATTTCTTACTTGAACTGTAGAATAAAGTCATGGGTGTATTTCTGTGACACATATATAAGACCTGAGTGTGATTATCAACTTATTAACTTGAAATCACTGACCAATGCGGTGAATCTTTAAAATTCACTCAACGAGTGACTGGAGATTCAGTAGCCTGCTCTCGTGGACTCACTGATGTAGACATAGCATCAAATTCTCGAGCAGAAAGTGCCTTCCTCGATTGAATAGCAGTCAATAGCCATCTGTGTGGTATTCAACTAAGTGAATCTATGAGAACTGGTAACCATTTTGAAATTTACTGACTCATAATCTCTGTCTAAGCACTCACCGACTACAGTTCGAATGACGCAAAGGATGAACTCTAGGAAAAGCTGTCAATTTCCCGACAGGAAGCAAAACATTCAGATATAGTCATAATGGTAGGTAACTGACGCTCAAGTATGTAAAGTGAGCTGAGCCAGTCGGAAATGCATCTTGAGGGTATTTACGCAGTCACATGCCAATGAATAGACAGCAGTGATCGTATATGGCAATTTTGTTCCGGCATTTGACTCTGTCGACCGTGAGGTGTTGTGGCAGTGTCTAACTGTGAAATGAGTACTCGTCAAGTATATTAGCAATAATTGAAGCTCTCTATTCGAACTAACGCAGCAGTTTACGGGCTTATGGATGACAATTAGCGCTGTCTGCAAAGGAGACCTACTTTCCTGTTCAACCCCAATATAGATGTATCAATGGACATAACCTTTGTTCTCTTCGACTTTACAGGGACTGATCTACTCTCCGAAGAGCGCCTATTTGACTTGGAGTTCGCAGACAACATAGTCTTGTGTAAAGGAAAAAGTGACCGATACGAAATCTCCAGAAAGCTTCAAGCACACCTACATCTATTTTTAGCATGAGTTTCGCACATAACAAATGTAACATGACGCTTCACGACTGATCTGCAACTACTCCTAGTTTAAGGATAGGGAGGAAAGTGGTGGAATGCGTCGACCACTTTACTTACTTGGGAAGTTGCATCAACATGAATCGGCTGGTTGGTGACGAAATTTCAGCTCGGATATAGAACTCCAGTTTGGCATTTGCCAACTTGCGTCATCTGTGGCGCTTACCAGCAAGATATCCAACTGCTTATCTAGGGGAAAGCGTACTGCGCTGTATTCTGTTTTGTCCTATTATACAGCTGTTAGA